AAAAAATAAAATAAATGAGGTCCTTGAAGGTAAACCCCCCCACTCTGGGGGACAGGATTCCAATTCCCTAGAGACTCCTGCATCACAAAATGTCTAGCACTCCTGGGAGGCTTCTGTTGGTTTGCAGAGGACCTGTCTCAGAGAAGCTCCAGTTCCCAGCTCCGTATCGGTGGGATCCAAGGTGGGCAGGGGTCTTAGAAACCAGAGCCTGTGGGTCAGCAACTCTGTCTGGCAAGCGCTGTCCTGCCTTCACCCCGGCTGCGCTGCCCTGGGGGACCTGCTCACCTACACACCTCCTCCTTCACTTATCACACCTCATTCAGTGGGATCATCTGCATCTGGGGACCTCCCATGCTCAACTTCTGTCTCTTATCGTATTTATTGCACTTCTTATCACTTTTCCTTACTCTCGTTGGTAACTCATTAGAGCAGATCATGTAGGTGAAAGCACTTTGTAAACTAAATAGGGTCCTACGAAATCAGAATTCAATTTTGAGCTCCGCACGATCACAATCAGGACTCGGGACTCGTGTCTTCTCCATCAGTCCCAGAGGAACCTGGAAGAAAGGAGTCGGGGAGGGAATCGCAGAAAGAAGATGGGGGAGATGAAGGATACTCTACACCTTCCTAGTCATCCCCCACGGTCCTGGTGAAGAGATCAGAGAGGGCAGAGTAAGGGACAACACAGCCTGTGTTCACGACTAACACAGCCTCCAGACTTCCCTGGGTTTGGCCTGGCCACGCGCAGACCTCTTTGCAGGTGGTGACCACATTTTACCAATGAACAAAAGGAAGGAAGGAAGAAGGAAGGAAGGTTGGTCTTCAAGCAGCGGCATCCTCCAGGGATAACAGGCTACAGTATTTGCTGTCAGGACTGTCTTCACAATGTCACGTGGGAAGGTCCTTATACCTCTGTTGCCCACCTCCTAACCATCTCTGCTTAGTGGTATGGCCTTTGGTCTGCGCACTCATGAGGGTTTCTTGTTTCCCGTTCAGTCCCTGGCCACATCGTAACCACATGGGACCTGCTTCACGTTGCACAGCGAATGGAGCTGAGCTCCAGGAATCCTATGGAATAAGCGGGACTCCAGAACCCACCGTCTGAGACTCCAAGCCCTCACTGCCTATCGCTCCAGCCCCAACAGCCCCATCCTGCTTGATCATGTATTCGGTCATCTGTTGTTGTTTTTTAAGATTTTATTTATTTATTTGGCAGAGAGAGAGAGGGAACACAAGCAGGGGGAGTGGGAGAGGGAGAAGCAGGCTTCCCGCTGAGCAGGGAGCCTGATGCAGGACTTGATCCTAGGATGCTGGATCATGACCTCAGCTGAAGGCAGACGCTTAACTACTGAGCCACGCAGGCGCTCCGAGTCATCTGTTTTTTAACTGACCACATGGGAGAAAAGAAGAGGAAGAAGAAAAGAAGACCACATTGGCCATACTCTTCCGCCCTATTAAAATGAAAACCGGGGGGCACCTGGGTAGCTCAGTGGGTTAAGCCTCTGCCTTCAGCTCAGGTCATGATCTCAGGGTCTTGGGATCGAGCCCCGCCTCGGGCTCTCTGCTCAGCCGGGAGCCTGCTTCCCCCTCTCCCTCTGCTTCTCTGCCTACTTGCGATCACTGTCTCTGTCAAATAAATAAATAACATCTTTAAAAAATAAATAAATAAAATAAAATAAAATGAAAACCAGGGATGTTGACATGTCTTAGTCAAATGCGGCTCAAATCATGCAATGTTAATCATGTATTATGTGGATATTTACAACTTATATTTTATGTGCCTAATATATGGGACCATTTCAACCAGATACAAACATACCAGCTTCAAGAGCACTCACCTGCTGGGAGGTCACACGGACATAACTCTCCCATCATAGATGTGGGGCCCTGCGTTTACCACCCAGCCTCTCGGCCTCTGTTTCCACGTCTATAAGACAGCATGGCAGCCTCACGTGAGGCCGTCTGTGAAGAACCACAACAGAAGGCAAAATGCTCTGCAGTATAACATTCATAATATTAGTTTCATCTTCCTCTTCCCCCCTCGTACAAAATCAGTCTCCTATGCGCACATTGAAACAGCCTATCTTTTTACCAACTTGACACTTGCCTGGTTATAAAGTGCTGAGGTGACTAGCATGTCATGGGTAAGTCACCATGAGCTCTTGGAGGGAATGGCGGTCCCTAGGGAACCCAAGGAAGAAAGACCATCACACAAAACCAAATAGCAAGTGAGGCATTCTACAAAACACAGGCCTATCATCTTAAAAAAATGTCAGGGTCATGAGAGACCAAAAACAAAAACAAACAAACAAAAGGTTGAGGAAATGTCCTGGATTGACAGAGACTCAAGAGACATGACAAGGGAATACAGTGGGTGATTTGAGACTGGATCCCATGGTGGGGGTGGAGGGCGGAGGGAAGCTGCTACAAATTGCATTGAGAAAATTTGAAAACCATTTGTATATTAGATAATAATTGTTAAATTTCCTAATTTTGGCCACTCGCTGGTGATTATGTAAGTGCCTTTGTTCTTGGGAAATGAAAATACGAAGTAATTAGAAGTAAAAGGGCATCATGCTTGCAACTTACTTTCCGATAGTTCAGAAAGGAGATGATAGTAAGGTAGGGAGATGATGATGAAAGATAGAGAGATGATACATAGATGATAGAGAGATGTGTGATATGCTATAGAAAATGTAGCGAAATTAACATTTGGTCAGTCTTGGTGAAGCATAGGGGAGACCTCTGTGCTATTCTATTAAGCCTGAGATTATTGCAAAACAAAAAAGTTTTAGAAAGAAAGCAAGACATGACACGTGAAAAAGAAGATACTAAGTAAAATATAAGTAAGTAAAATATATGCAAATTTAAATTTTAAAATTTATTGAATTTTTTGGGCAAAATTTAAAAAAAATAGAAGCACGCTGAATTGGGAAAATAATTGTGCTCTGTTGTCCCCAGTCCCCTTCTATGCTGTGAGCTTTCTTAAAGACAACTTCAAATATTTCTTAGCCTATAATATGAATAATACTGGTATTAGAGCAGAAAGGACCTGGCCTTAAATAGCGCTCTTTCTTTCCCACAGGATCATACACCCTAAAACATAAGAAAAAAACGTCAACAACAGGTAAGCAGGTCCAAGTGAGTGACATTGGTTCCAAATGCACACGTGGCCAGAATCAGCCTCCCCCCTTGCTCGCCAAAGAAAAGCTTCTTTCTGTCTCTGAAGTCATCTTACACCTCCCAGAGAAAGTCTGTATGTGGCATGGATCCTGGGCACACCCTCATTGTCATAAGATGCCTGCTTTCACTTGAATGAGGAATCTGATTGGGAAGGATCCCCACTAGGAGGAGTTCTCCCCATTAAATAAATTACAAACACAGAACGAAGGCTTGGAAATTCAGAAGGTTGTCAATTCATAGTTCAGTTGAATTGGGAAAATCACAAATGTCTGTTCTTTGAAGTAAGCAAAGTATGGACATTCCACGCTAGGGGATTAAATCAGTTTTCAGATTGCTGTGAGCCCAGCGGTAGTGACAGCAACACTCAGACCCTTACTAAGTTTTCTTCTGAAAGGACATGCTAATGGCTTCAATAAAGTTTGAGGGAACCCAGATAACCAGAAAGGCTTTGCCAGCATTCATCAGTGAAAAACAAAACAAAACAAAACAAAATCCTTCAAAGGGCACCTGGGTGGCTCAGTTGTTAAGCGCCTGCCTTCAGCTCAGGTCATGATCCCAGGGTCCTGGGATCCAGCCCCATATCTTCCTGCTCAGTGGGGAGCCTGCTTCTGCTTCTCCCTCTCCCTCTACTGCTCTGCCTACTTGTGCTCTCTCGCTCTCTCTGTCAAATAAATAAATAAAATCTTCTTTGAAAAAATCCTTCAAGATAATCTTTCCACTGTGGATTTTTTTTTTTTTTTTGGCGAAGGGGCAAGAGGATATTTAAAAACGTGCAGTACAAATATTTCACTAGCTTTGTTATCCTATCCTCTCCTCCTGCATATTACTCTTAACAGCAGAAACACATAAAAAGTAAAATGGGGCCTTTTATCTTTTAAATGTTGCTCTTGGTGACATTGTGATGACGTGGTGCTTTGAAGGATAGCTTCCTGGTCTCCCTCCTTCTCTCTCCCCAACCAGGCATCCACGGGTGGAGAGAAAGTCTTCCTGAAATAGCTCTCAGATTCAACATCAGCGATCACACCTGCCTTCACTTTGTGAAGATCCACAGCAAAGGGCTGAGTTTTGACACCGTGACTCGGGTTACTGAGTTATAAGCGTGCTTCTTAGTGACCTATCGGAGTTGGATGATGACCTGACCCTGTTCTCAGGCAGGGACCATTACAGATGTTTCATGCAAGGACACCACTTGAGATGGCGTGAAGGTCCTTTTCAACTGAGAAGCCCGTCCGGTGTGGTGCCCTTTACCCGGAGGCAGTCACCAGTGGCCAGCTCCTGCTCTCCCTGGGGGGGAACCAAACAGACCGTAACAGGTCGTCACCAAGCTCCATCAGCAGATTAGCAGCTCTGAAGGACAACACGCCTCTCTAAGTCATCCTGTAAAGCCACCTCTGAATGTGACTTGTCACACCATCCCAGGTTCTTTTACCCTCTGCAGGGTGGGGGGCGGCTTTGCCTGATGCCCGGCAGCTCTGAGCTCCTGGATAATCCAGAACATGTTCTGAACCCTCACTCTGCTTCCAGCCAAGTCATGGTCCCTGCAGGGCCTGCCAGAACAGAAGCTCGCCTGCCCTGGGGTGGGTAGGGGGAGCAGGGGAGAAGGGCTATTTTCCATCAGGAAGGAGGCCACCGTGTCCCTAGAATGAGACCTCCGTGACTCTGCTGCTAATCTGGAGTATGTAACCTTGAAAGGTTGAGTCCTTTCTGTAACTCCTCCTCTCTGCATATAAAGGGTTGGGACCCGGAGGTTTCAGGACCAGGCCGTAGCCTCTGTAACCCCCAGAGCTGCAATACTCACCCTCCTTCTACCTGCTCAAGACCACAGCAGATTCATCTCCAAGGTACAGGGTGTTGAACTTGAGTGTGCCTGGGATGGATGTTTTATCTTGCCCTTGCCGGGCCGAGTGAAATGGACATAGTCTTTGTAAGAGCCTGTCTTTTTCAGTCCCTGGGATGCATCTTTCCCTCTGAGCCCCCCTACTTCGCATCTGCTCGGGAATGACTTAGAAATCTTAGTGAGGCTTTTCCATATCTGATATATGTATATTTAAACGATATCTTCAAAATGAGCTAACCTCCGTAAGAAAGCCAGAAATCGGTGCCAGGGTTCACTTAACATGATTCTGATATGATGAAATACTAGAAAGAAAAACAGTGCCTGTTGAGGAAGAGATGCACAACCCCAGAACCGATACCTTCCGGTAATGTTTAAACAGAGATGCTTAGCCACCTGGAGGGCTTCTCAGAGGGCTGATGTTCAAGAGCCAGGACTCCATCCGCGGCTTTGGGATTCTAGAGCAGAGCTTCTTAAACTTTAATACGCATGTGAATCATCTAGGGATTAGGTTAAAATGCAGTTGTTTTTTGTTTGTTTGTTTGTTTGTTTGTTTGTTTTAAAGATTTTATTTATTTATTTGATAGAGAGAGAGGTCACAAGTAGGCAGAGAGGCAGGCAGAGAGAGGGGGAAGCAGGCTCCCTGCTGAGCAGAGAGCCCGATGTGGGGCTTGATCCCAGGACCCTGAGATCATGACCTGAGCCGAAGGGAGAGGCTTTAACCCACTGAGCCACCCAGGCGCCCCTAAAATGCAGTTTTTGATTCAGATTCTGTCTTGATAAATTCTATGCTTGCAATAATCTCTAGGTGATGCCCATGCTGGCTCATGGGACAACTGAGTATCAGGGTTCAGGCTTGTTTTGGGGACAGTAAATAATCTTTACTTTTTATTAAGATTTTATTTATTTATTTGGCAGAGAGAGAAAGGGAGGGAGGGAGAAAGGGAACACAAGCAGGGGGAGTGTGAGAGGGAGAAGAAGGCTCCCCGCTTAGCAGGAAGCCCAGATACAGGGCTCTCAAGCCAAGGACCTTGGGATTGTGACCTGAGCTGAAGGCAGAAGCTTAACAACTGAGCCACCCAGGTGCCCCAAATAATCTTTAAATCATCAGTGACTGAATCTTATCCAATCAGCAAATAGTCAAGGTATGTTTCACTAAAGACAATTCTGTCCTATTTTAAAATTTGTATTTTTACCTGAACATACAGCAAAAAAAGGGTCTCTCACGCGCATGCTGGGTTCTATGAAATTTATCAAAAGTACAGTTCTGTGTAGCTACCATCACAATCGGGACACAGAACAATTCCATCGGTTCCCTCGTGCCGAGCCTCTGTGGTTGTCCTCACTCTCTCCCACTAACCCCAGGCAACTATAGTTTTGTCTCTCCAAGAATGTCCTATAAATGGAATCATAGAGAATGTATAGTCTGCTGAGATTGGCTCTCTTCCACTCAGCACGATGCCTTTGAGATTCATCCAAGTTACTGAATGTATCGATAGCTTGTTCCTTTTTATTGCCCCACAGAATTCCATTGTGTGGATGTCTGCCAGTTCTTACCCATCCATTCCCTGAAGGGCTATTTCGCTGTTTCTGCTTTTTCACAGTTACAAATAGAAGTGTGTACAGGTGCGCAGGTTTCTGCTGGAACACGAGTTGCCTTTCTCCAGGCAAAATACCTGGGAGTGGGATTGCTATGTATGTTTAACTTCGTAAGCAAGTGTCAAACTGGTTTCTGGGTTAATATCTGTATTCCGCATCTCCAGCAGCAGAGTATGAGCCTTCCAGTTGCTCCACACCCATCCTCTCCAGCACTTGATAAGGCCAGTGATTTTTTTTTAAGATTTTTATTTAGTTATTTGACAGACAGAGATCACAAGTAGGCAGAGAGAGAGAGGAGGAAGCAGGCTCCCTGCTGAGCGGAGAGCCCGATGTGGGGCTCGATTCCAGGACCCCAGGATCATGACCTGAGAGGAAGGCAGAGGCTTAAGCCACTGAACCACCCAGGCGCCCCAAGGCCAGTGATTTTTATCTGGGCCATTCTTACAGGGGTATTGTGGTATCACTACCTGGTTTGAATTTGCATTTCCCTAGGGGTTAACGATGTTCAATGTCTTTCAATGTCCTTAGCTGATATCTGCGCATCCTCTTTGATGCAGTGTCTGTTAAAGGGCGTTGCCCATCTTTCAATTGGTTGTTTGCTTTCATGTTGTTGAATTTCTAGAGTTCTTTACATATTCTGGATACAAACCCTTTATCATCTCTGTGGTTTGTAAAAATGTTTTTTTTAGTTCGTATCTTCTGTTTCATTCCCTTCACAGTGTCTTTTGCAGAACAATTTATTTTTATTTTTTTATTTTTTACTTTGATGAAACCCAATTTGTCCATTTTTCTTCTATGGATTGTGCTTTTGATGTCATAACTGAAAACTCTGCCTGCTCCCAAGCCCCCAAAAAAAGTCTGTTTTCTGCTAAAAGTTTTACCATTTTAGATTTTTGTATTAGATCTGTGATCTACTTTGAGTTAATAAGTTCTGGGGCTCAGGTAGAGGTGGTTTCTTTGGGTTTTGATATTTTGGCATCCTGTTTTTCCAAGGACTTTTGCCAGCCCCACATGATAGCTTTGTAGTAAGTCTTAAACAATCAGGTAACTGATTCAACTTCCACTTCAACTTCTTTTTCAAAACTGTACAAGTACTCTAGACCCACTGTGTGTTCACATACGTTTTAGAATCAGTTTGTCTTTAACTATGAAACATTCGGGTTTTAGAGTTGTGACAAATCTACACCTTACTTTTAAGAGAACTTGTGTCCCTGCCATGTTGTCTTCCAATCCATCAACATAGCACATCTCTCCCTTTACTGAGTTTTTCTTTTATTTCATTCCTCAGCATTTTGCAGGGGTTTTTTAAAAAGATTTTATTTATTTATTTATTTGACAGACAGAGATCACAAGTAGGCAGAGAGGCAGACAGAGAGAGAGGAAGGGAAGCAGGCTCCCTGCTGAGCAGAGAGCCTGATGCTGGGGCGGGGCGGGGCGGGGTGGGGGGGTGGGGGGTGGGGCTCGATCCCTGGATCCCAGGACCCTGGGATTGTGACCTGAGCCAAGGCAGAGGCTTTAACCCACTGAGCCACCCAGGCACCCCAGCATTTTGCAGTTTTTGGCAAACATATTTTGTATGTTGTGCTACGTAGGTAGCTCAGTATTTCACTGGGGGGAGTTATCATAAACGATGTTGTGTTTTTAATCTCAGTTTCCAGTTGTTCATTGCTAACTTCCACTAATTTTTATGTATTGCTCTCATGTCCTTCACCCTTGCTAGGAATTAGTTCTAGGAATTTTTTTCGTGATGTGCTTCAGGTGCACTAGAAAGGAATCTGTCTTCTGCCATCATTGGGTGGAGAGATTTATAAATTATACTTAGATCTAGCTGGCTGGTGATGCTATTCAATTTTTTCTAGATCTGTGACAATTTTCTCTCTGCTAGTTCCCTGTCTGGGTCAGGTCCATGCATGTGCATCCCAGAGGCCAGCTTAGGCATTAGCAACTTCTAGCGGTCTCATTCCCAAGGTCCGCCCCTTCCGTGGTATCTATCCCTGTTTTTTCCGGTTCCCTGAACTCCCCTTTGCAGTCCTTTGGCCAGAAACCAGGGCTTTGGTTTCCTGGTCTGCTGAGTGCTTCTGGTGCTGCATTCCCATCTGGGGTCAAGTGCAGGGATACTGAGAGAAGGAAAGCAGTGGAGGGAGGAAGACCACAGCCCCTCCTTATGGAGCAAGTTGTGCTGCCCTGGGGATTTTGTGTCTGTGCAGCTGGGCTGCTGCGGCCATGGGCTCAATTCCATTGCCGAGCCTCCCTAAAGTCAGAACTTCGTAGAGACCAGAGACGGTAGGAAAAGGAAAAGCACGTGATTTCCCTTGTTCCCTGAACATTATGACTCTCCTTTCTCCCTTGAGTCAGGGGACATGGAGCTCTCTCTGGCTGGGTGCCGCTTCTGGGTCCCCTACTGCTTTGGGTCTGAACTGGGGAGCCAGAGTAAAAATGGGAAACTCAGCACACCACACAGTGGTGATGGGAATTCTGGTCTTCTCCAACCCACCCGTGACTGTTTCCTTTTTTGGAGTCCTCAATCAGCCGCCGTGTGCCTGGGTCCAGTCTTTGGAGTTGCCTTCTTTGGAGAGACAGGGGGTGGAGGGTGCCATATGCTTCCTCCATTTATCTGGAACTGGAACCCTCTGTTCTATTTCAAGCCATGATCTCCATGAAGCTTTTTGGAATGCTGTGAAAAATCATCACAAAATGGCCACTCTTACGAGGTGTTGGATGTGCAAGACTGGTGGCACATGGGGTCAGCTGGTGTATAATGAGCCACTCCAGCTGAGAGTCAAGGAATGATCAGTCTAAGCCAAAATTCCTTAAAACAAACAAACAAAAAACCCCTCACATTCCTCAACTTGGGTTTCATCCTCTGAGTAGCCTAAGAGCTGGAAAATTAGATGGTTTCCATGACATCAGGGCTCACAGGGGACAAGTGTGCCTCTGGTTTGTGGACTCAATAATGTTAGTTGGCTCTGTGCAGCACAGAAACCTCACAGATGGTCAAAGTTCAACCCTGTCTGTCTAAGTGACCTGCTGTGAACGTGGTCTGTGCTGCCGTGCTCTTTAAGCACTAATAGCTTTTGTGAAGTTGAGTTCCTCGTTGTCACGGAGGTTATGGCTTTTCCCAGTTGGTGGCCATGGAACGGAAGCTGTGCTATTGATTCTCTCGATGGGAGGACACTAGTGGCTGGTGTTCTTGGTCAGAGAGATGGAGAGAACAGAACCATTTGTTTATCAAGGACAATCTCCTTGTTTCCAAAGGGCTTTCCAACTATTGACATCTTCTTCGTCACGATTCTGCAAAGTAGAGTAATTGTCTTCATTTTAGAAACCAGGGACCCAAAACAGCAGGGTTCACAGAAACACCTGTTACCTGTGGAGGAATGGGTTAACCCACACCGAGGGGCTGGCAGA